AGGGCATCTGGGCAGCAGGGCTCATCTCTGCAAAGGGAATTCATTGCAGTGCAAAAATGCATTTCAAGGAAAGGAGCCCTGAGTTCTGTTTGGATCAAACTGAGACAGATGCAAACAACTCTGAGCCTGATACTGCCCTCGTTTACCCAGCATTGCAGTTAGTGGTGCCGCTCCTGATTTACACCAGCATAGACAAGAACAGACTTGAGCCTGCTCTGCTCAGTCATGTTGCCTCCTGTACAGCCAGCAGGCATCTCTCCATCCAAATCCTACTAGTGCTGGAAATGCCTCTTCCCAGGCAATCTTGCCTACCTGGCACATCCGGGAAACACCCTGTCATCTTTGTCCCAGAGTCTGGTACATTCCTTTCCTGTGGCCAGAGCACCCAGCTCTATAGCTTGTGCATGACATTCAGTTTAGATATATCAGCGGGAACTGAATACTACTGCCCAGAAGAGCTGCTAGCTCAGCTGAAGAGGTTAAAGAACATAAAATGCCTCTTTCTTTTCTGTCTTCAGTCACCTATACATGTGCCAGATGTCTGCTCTGATGCGTACTAACATGTGCTAATTGAGTCAGAGCAGATCTGATTAACTGAGTTAATTAACATGCTCCAGCAGCCTCCTGACACATCTAGTCAGCATCCACACACTTCAAAATGCCAGCAGGGGCATTTGAACTAACGCTTGTCAAATGAGCTTTAGTTCAAGCGCCCCTGCCACCATTTTGAAGCATGGGACACTGAATACATGATGTTGCAGGTGCTTTAATTAGAGTGTCCGCTCTAATTAAAGTGTCCCCCCACACCCTGGAGCATGTGTATAGATGCCCTTATAGTCTAGTCCCAAATAAAAAATCATCTACCAACTCTCCCTGCTTAGGTCAGCCCCCCTTGGGGGAAGTACTATTTTGCTGCCTCTGCCAATGTTTTAGTGGTGGACTAAGCAAAGATGATCGTGGGTTTCACAAGATGAAAGGGGTTAACTCCTCTTCTCTTGACCTGATTCCAGAGTTACCTCCTGCCCCTCTGTATTCCTATTGCTATGTCTGACTCAGTTGCCTACATACCCGTAACAAGATGCTGCAGTCTGTGGTCCTGATTTTTCATAGTCACATACCTCTGTACAAAGTGGGGGCCAGACTCCAGCATTGAATATGTGGGACAAAAGGCTTCAGCTTGGTATCATCTCTCACAGACTTTATACAACTGCAAATGACTGAGGGCATGGGTCCAGGAACAGCTCACCACAAAGTGGGCAGGGAGCTTTATAGTGCATCCATTTCTCTGCTTTAACTACCTGTATGCACAGTCTTATCCTGCAACAAATGAAAACAAACCTGAAGCAGCTTAGTCCACAGAGAAGAAAAAGTAAGGTACTGCTGGTTCACTTTACCATAGCAGGATGAGAACATGCACATGGACAGTTATTGCAGGGCAGTGGATGCTTTGTAAAACCCTCACCCTCCTTTGTCCTGTGGTAATCTGTTCCTGTGCCCATGTCTTCTAGAAGCTGCTCCCAGACCGTGAAGTATTGGGCCTCTTGTGACTACAGTGTAAATACAGGCCAATTCAACCCTCCTCTACACTCAGCTAACCCGCTGCATAGCCAGACGGGGGCCAGACAGAATGTAACTGAGGGTAGCACTTGGCATATAAGTCATAAGGCACTTTGGGGTCTTCCAACTGAACAGTGCCACATAAAATGTGAGACATTATCAGTTATTGTTATTGCTGTTGTATATTCAGTATGGCATCTTAGTTTCCATGTACGGCCTTATATATGGGAATCTCCCAAGGGCCATGGAAGATGAACACAGATGTGTAAAACCAGGTGAGAGAAAGGGCTAGTAAGGGAAGGGTAGGAACTATCATATTTTCTTGAATCTAAGATGACCCTGAATGTAAGGCAACCCTCCAAAATAATTAGGCTCTATATAGGGGGAAAATTATAAATTTGTTACAATTTTCCAGGGGGAACAACTGGAAAATTAAGCACCACACACACAAAAGGGTCCCATCAGCATTTTTTGGGCCAGGGGAGGGCATCAGAGCTTGCTTCAGCCTCTCCGAGTGCTGGCTCAGAGCTTGTTCCCCCTTGGGGAGTAATTGCCAAGTTTTTTGTTTTGTTTTCAGGGGTTTTTTGTTCGTTTTTAAATACCACCCCCCCAAAAAACCCAAACCGTTCCCATCAGCATGTTTGCCCAATATGGGCCATGTGTTTTATAGGCATGCTCAGTGTGGGCTGCATTCATGGTTGGTTTCTATTACCAAGCACATGCTGCTTCTGACAGTAGTTTAATGATAGACAGTGTATTTAATGAGGTTGTTTTGTATGTAAATACCAAACAAGGGTCCCCCCCATGCTGATTGGGGGGGAAAAAAACTGATCTTATATTTGAGTTAATATGGTAATTAGGTGTTGGTGAGAAGATGGATTAGATACTTGGGAGGTCTTCTCCATCTCACATTTCTATGAAGCAACTGCTCGACAACACAGGAATGTCTATCAGTCAAATGGGTCCTGGAGGTGTCAGCATATCCATTAATGCAGATTTTTTTTACTTATATCAATTTATGTTCCTGATGAATTTTATAAGATAGAATACAAGGGATAAGAGCATTAGCAATGGAACGTGGAGCAGAGCTATACAAAGGGATGCCATATAGGGCTGTGTGAAATGGCACTGTTGTGTTTCGAGGTTTGCATGGAACAGCATTTCGTATTGAATTTCATTTAGATTTGAAACAGCTGATCTGTTTTACTTCGTTGAAACAGTAAGGCTGTTTTGACATTTTGCTAGATCGGGGACAGCCCCCCGCCCGATCCGGCGCCAGGGATGGGAAGTCAGCCCAGCTGGACTGACTTCCTGGCCCTGGCCCAATCCAGTGCCAGGGATGGGAAGTCAGCCCAGCTGGACTGACTTCCCAGCGCTGTGGTTGAAACATTTAGACTTTTGAAATGTTTCGACTAGCCTTGTTTTGTTCCGAGGCTGTTTCAAAGCCCTTTGTTTCATTTCGATTTTGCTGTTTTGACCTTGAAATGAATCGAAAGTGTCAAAACTAAATGGCCAGTGAAATTTCGCACAGCCCTAGTGCCATAGCTTAACTATTGCTGCAGAAAAATATTTCCCATATCTCCAAGAACAGCGAGTGAGAACATTCCCATCTAGTGCCAGGGCTGCTTTGACTGTCCTGGTGTCTACAGTGTGTTGCATTTCATCCCCATCTGCCCACTGCTAGGAATTGCTTTAAGGCATAGTATGCACAGAACTTTGCCACTTAGGAGCATAGGATTTGTGGGGGCTTTCCAGGCCACTGGGACCAGTCTCCTGCATATGCAGGCACCCGGTTTTCCAAAAAGGTCCACAAGATCATCTACTAGGAGCCCCCTCGCACACCAGTCAGAAAGCACCTTGTCAAAAGCTATACAGCATGTCACATGTGAACAGCTGGGGAGGCAAGTGTGCCCCCAATGTCTTGGCTACTAGAGTGATAGGAAATTAGGTTGGTTAAAGTATGCTGAAATGACCTGGGAAGATAACCATGTCCTGCCCTACAGCGAAGGGCAAAAATGCCACAGTCCACAATAGTCTGACCTAGGAAAAATACTGCCCCCAGCTCTACAATTACTTTACTCTGAACACATGAGCCAGAATTACCAGACAGAGATTGGGAACCCTCCCTGGTGCCTACAAAGTGTCAGCACACCCAAGCCAGCATCCACCTGTAGCTCTGGCCAATGCCCAAAGCTTCAGCAAAAAGCAGAGAAAAGCCCAGAAGCCAGTCATTGAGAGTGGGGAGTGGATTTTGTCCTGGTACCTGCAGGTGACTGATGGAAGTCCTAAAAAAATGGACTTTCCAGATGCTTTCCACATAGGGTTCAAGTTTCCTTTCAGTCTCTCATATTTAAATCTTCATGAAACATTCAATTGCTACACCAAGTAGACATGTCATACAGGCCCTTTCCATGAACCTCTCATGTTCCATCTTTAAGCAACTCCAATTTCTAGTCGCCACAACTTGCTTCCAAAGACCACTCCAAAATTGGACTTCTCCAGTGGTTAAAAACCTCCTTCTGATTTCTAATTCACTTGTGACTGGTTTAGATCCATTTGGTCTTATGCCAAAATAATTCTTTAAGTTACATAGCTATTCTCCCTCCCTGATATTTGCCCTGCAAATGGATTTATAAAAGAGTAATCATATCCCCTCTCAATCTTTGTTTTGTTACACTAAACAAGCCAAGCTCTTAATCTTCTCTCATTGCCACCTTGGGAGCAGCCTTCCAGAGGAGGCAAGAGGCTGACATAGTTTGTTTATTCTTAGGCCCCAGTTCAGCAAGGTACTTAAGGCATGCAACTTGGCATGAAGCATGCAAATAATCCCATTGATTTAATTCCTCATGTGCTTAAGTTAGACTCATCTCTAAGTATTTTACTGTATCTGAGCCCTAAGACGGGGGAACAGCTTCATTGCAGGTTACCCTGAGGATACCAGAGACTAGGGTGGCCATCATAGAGGACATTCCGGTTTTCTGCTACTTTGTCTTCTATTGATATGAAACCCAACGCCTTTATGTCCTCTATGTTTCTCTTCAAGAAAAAGAGTTTCGTATCAATAGAAGACAGAGGACAACCGGACTGTCCTCTATGATGGCCACCCTACCAGAAACATGGGAGCACTCTGCACTAAAACTGGGAGCCAGCAAGTATAAACCAGTGAATTTGAGAGGCTTTTTAGGTTGGTTGTTTCTATCAATATACATTTTTTTAAAGAATCCTAGATAAAAACATTTTAAATCTACTCATTAAAGTTGCTTTGGAACTTGATTAGTTCAGACCCCCCACACCTAAAACCAGACCCTCTAGCCCCAGTTGTCTCAGAGGACAGCCAAACACAAGAGGCATCTAGACAGTGACTACTCTGCCCACTGAAACTTTACAAGACCTGTGCTGATTGGCCCTGTTTTAACAAGCTCCATGTCCTCTCTCCTTGTCAGCCTGAAGAACAGCCTGCAGAAGAAGCTGAGCCAAGACTCCATGGATTTATCTGGGATCCCCCTGACCATGAGAGATGTCCACCGCATGGCCTACTACCTGCAGAACAATGGGGACAACCTCACCTCAGTGGACCTGAGCTTCGCTGAGCTAAACGATGAGATGGTGCGCATGCTCCTGCCATTCCTCTGGGCGCTGCCCAAGCTCACTCATCTCTCCCTGAATGGCAACCGGCTGACCAGAGCCACCATGAAGGAGCTGACTGATACCATGAAGGACATGAACAAGTTCCCATGCTTGGCCTGGGTGGACCTTGGCAACAATGTGGATGTCTCCTCCATGCCGCAGCCATTGCTGGTGGGCCTGCGCAAGCGCCTCAGCCAGCAGACCACACTGCCCACCATCTATGAGTCGCTCGACTGCGACTCTGAGCTCTCCAGTGGACATGAGGGCAGCCAGCAAGAGGACGAGGAGGAGGAGGGAACAGAAGGCATTCAGCCAGTGACCAAAGACAAAGCCACCCCACGTGACTTCCCCCAGCAGTGCTGTGAGAGGTGATTGGATGATGAGCCTCAGCTGCCAGACTGAAACCGCGGCAAGGAGAGCTCTGCGTGCAAACACAAAGCAGAGGGCCAGCTTCACCGGCTTCCTTTGGTGCTTCTCTTGCCTTCCCGACATCTCAGCCTTGCCACGTTCTCAATGAAACCCTATCTCCCTACGCGCACTGCCAGCCAAGCACATTGCTGACATTCCAAACAGGAACCAGTTACTTACAGCGAACCTGGCCTCGGAGCAGGATCTCATTGGAGGATGGGGAACGAGTTGTTGGATTCAAAATATTCTCCAGAAGCAACTGGGCTGAGGGGAGGGGAAGAAACGCTTGGTCCTAAGTTATTCCCTTCCTTCCGTTTTCTCTTCGTTCTGTAAACCCTAAGGCCTGCGGCCTTGAGCCGTGCGAAAGGAGCTGCCCCAAGGGTCGAGCTGCTCTCGGGCTTTGTCAGATGCATCAGAGACTGGAGCCAGAGCCCAGCAGAGCGTGTCTCCCCTTATGCCTGGCTCAATTTTTTTTTCCCATTGTGTGTTTTGTATTAATGTCCAAACAAAAGGAATTGCAGTCAGAGACCCAATGCAGTGGTCAGGCCCAGGGAGAACACGTGACACAAAACTGCAGTGTCAGGATATCTGGGAACAGGGTATGTGTGTGGCTGACAGGAACATGGAGGGGCTGGAGTGTAGGGGAGGAGGTGTCCTCACAGATTAAGAAGAGCAGTTTTACAAACTGTGGCTTTTGTACAAACACCAAACCAATGAAAAAGCAAAACCAACCTGACCCAGGGAGAAAGCTCCCAGGGAAAAGGCCAGTCTTCGGGGCCAGAGGAGTGAGATGCGGAAACACCTATGGGGATGTCCTAAACTGCAGCAGAACTTCGGGTTGCTCCTTGTGAGACATTGCAGTCCATCCGACCATCTGTAGCCAGGGTGGTCTCATAACAGAGATGCGATGTGAACAGTTGAGTCACCGTTTTTAGCACTGTCTAGGAAACCAAGCCAGTGATGCAATATTTCCAGTGTTTTCCATATTGCCCATGCTGTATGTAAACACAATAAATAGTTCTCTTGGACACAAGAGTGAAGCACTAATGCTGTGTGTGAGCATCTGAGTTATTTGTATGTCTAGGTAGCAGAGAAGGCATGGCAAATCACAGGCCAGCAGCCCTGATGCAACACCCATGCAGCCCAGGAGAGGTCCCCCGTGCATGCTAGCCACGTAAACCAGAGCATTCTGCTGCTGTTTGCAGAACAGAGTCCTTGGGCTCCCGGAAGCCCTGAACAGGACTAGAATGTGCCAGCTGCAGTACAAGCACAGATCCAAATGCTACTGATCAGCCAAGGCCTCTTAGCCAAGCAGTGCTTCCCAGCACAGAGACGGTGAGGGTTTCACAGTGCAGTTGTATTTAATAGAAATTTAAACCTGCCACTAAGGCACAGCAGAAGTGGTTAAGGTGTCTCATTTTGGCTCGAGGGCTAAGAATTCACATGAAGGCTGCCCTCAAACAACCCCAATGTAAATGCAGCTTTGAAGTCAAATGATGCCAGCCCCATTGCTCCCTCATGGGCTGTTGGTAATGGAAACGAGCGCACCTAGAACCATACCAGCTCTATGGGCTGCTAAGCTCAGGAGGGCCTCTGAGCTTGACCTCTGGCTGTCTCTAACCCCCAATCTTTCTCTAGCTCCTTTTCTCTCTACACAAGAGAAATGCTCATCCATAAAGCCTCACCACCTCATGGGAGCTAGATAATTATTATCCTTATTCTTCAGGTGACACAAAGAGGTTAAGTGATTTTTCCACTGCCACACAGCAAATTAGTAGGCCTGACAGAAATGGAACCAAGCAGTTATGGCTTCCAGCCTCTTGTTTGAATCACTAGACAACATTGCAACATCTGCAAATGTTTCCTAGTGTCAGAGAACTCTGATTTGCAAACTTACTCCTCTTTGATGAGGAGCAAGATTTGTTGATTATATCTTTTACTGGACCAAGTATACAGCTGGTTTAAATGTTAGACAAGTTTTTGAGTGCAAAATACCCTTCCTCAGGTCTGGGAAAAAAGCAGATACAGCCTAAGCTAAATATCAGGGAAACAATTGCTTTTGTTTAATCCCATTGTGCAAATGAAAAAGGGCAGAGGTCAGGAAACCTGTGGAGAATCTTTTTGACCTCTCAGCTCCTATTGGCCAAGTTAGCTCAAGATAGCGTCATCTGCGTTTTAACCTATTTATCCATAGACCTCAAAATAGTCATAAGTAGTATAGGGACTTAAAACCCTTTCCCCCAAAGTATGATCAGAGTCCAACAATCTCTCTGTTTTTTTATCTGTGTCCCTAAAGCAGCTCACTGCCTGTCTACTGAGAATCAGGTACCAATTCTTCCAAGAAAATGTTAAGCTCCCAATGAGGCAGGGCACTCTTTATCCCAGTTATATATTAAGTGACGTGACAGGGACACTGGAGGGAGAGAATCTAGGATGAATGAAGAATCCTAGGAGCAGCTAACCCTGGAGAAATGGCTTTACCTGAACTTTATCGTCTTAGTGTTGATTCCTTTGCTAATAAAGCCAAGCCCCAGAAGGGGAGTTTGTTTTCATAGTACACAGCTGTGCACTTCCTCTTCAATCTCAATTTCTATTTTATTTGTCAAAGTTTATCCTACCTTCCTGGATGCCTGAAAGCGGGAGTTAACCAAGCCCTGGGCCCAAACATACTTTAATTGAATTTAATGGGAGTTTTGCCACTGACCTTAAATGGAGCAGGAATGAAATGCTGTTAGAAATGCTGTTTCATGAACTCCTAATGTTAACACAGACTGTGCCCTATTGGCTCAGTCATACTGAAGATACAGCAGGCTCAAGCATACATATCTGGGGGCAGATTCTGGCTGCCCCAGGTAGATGAGGATGAGGAAGACAAGATCCCAGAGGCAGCAAGAATCCCTGGTGTGTAAAAGGGTGTTTTGTTTTAGCTGGGCTTCAGTGCAGTCCCAAGGGGGCACTGTAGGCTGAGCTGAGGCAGCGTGCCGAGCAGTGCATTTCACAACCGACCTGTGATGTGAACAGGCTTCCAAAGCTATCCTCCAGCCCTTCAGGTAGAGCAGAACAAGCCGATTTCTCAGACAGAGAAGCAAATTCAAAGAGTGTCTCCATTTTACGAGCAATGGAGCTTTGCAAACCCCTCAGTACGGCTGCGTGGCTGCACCTGGCTCATTTTTTCCTCCAGCCATGCAGCAGTCTCCACGCATGGGAGGAAGCATGATATTTTTCTTTCAACTTTTCTCTCTCCAGCACAGTAATATCTTCCCTCCCAAAGCCCCTTTCCTCTGGGAATCCAGAGCGCTTTCCAAACCTCCACTTCAGTCCAAGTACTGCTGAGCTAGTCCCCAGTCCTCCTGCTCCCCCAGCTTCCCCACGCTCTCCCCTCTGCACCGCTAACCTTAGTGCACTGAAGGTTTTTGCAGCTTCCTGGTAAATACTGAACAAAGCAGGAGCTGCAAGAAGTAGCTTGCAGGTGAGATGAGCTTCCCACTGGAGCTCCAAGTAGCTCAGCTCCAAAGAGCCTCTCGATTGCCTGAGAGCCAGTGCTGCTGAGGGGGGTCTACTAATTGTTTAAGTCAGCTCTGATGTATGGCTGCCAATAGCTGAAGATACACGTGGCTTGCAATGGATGGGTTTGTCTGAGCCACTGCCAGTTCAGTGTTTACTCACAGGTATCTACTTGGGTGGCCTGTCACAGAAAACTGGCCCCTCACCCTGTGGAGAGATGGTCAATCAGCCAGCAAGCACATGACATTAAGTTACAAATCATGAGGTAGAGTAGTCCTAGAACATGAGAAATCTTTATGACCTGTTGGCTCCCTGGAAGAGGGCCATGGAGATCACAGGTAAAGGGCTAATGCATCCTTGCAGCAATGCAGGTTCAAACTGAACCCAAGGCAAGCTGCATTCATATACATGAGAGAAATGTATGATCCAAAGCAGCACTAAGGCTCATGCAGTGCAGGAGGCCTGGGACTGACCATATGTTAATACTTACTCTCCTTGCAGCAGAGGCTATTTTCTGGAAGTTTCATAGGCAAGATCGAAACAGATGTATCCAGAGCCACCATCAAGCCCACATTTGGCCTGACATAACCCATGGCAGGCCCTGCCTACAGCAAGGATCCATCCCTCTAAAGCAGCACTAAGGCTCATGCAGTGCAGGAGGCCTGGGACTGACCATATGTTAATACTTACTCTCCTTGCAGCAGAGGCTATTTTCTGGAAGTTTCATAGGCAAGATCGAAACAGATGTATCCAGAGCCACCATCAAGCCCACATTTGGCCTGACATAACCCATGGCAGGCCCTGCCTACAGCAAGGATCCATCCCTCTCTACTGTTGGCTACAAATGTCCAACTTGGGATCCTTAAAATTCTAGTTTATTAGGCGGATTGAAACACCGTAATCATAAACCTTGGGGCTGGTCCCCACACACACATGCACACACATACACACACACAGTAGCAGGCTACAGAGTCAGGTATACCTATCCTACAAGCGCTGGAGTCTGTCGTTGAGGCTTCTTTCAGCGTGGTGTTATC